AGTTAAACAAACCGGTTCAAAAGTACAAAACCAGAAGCAGAGCCATAAGCTGTGAGGAAGCCGAGGGTCAAAACCAGAACGATAACCTAAGTAACAAAACAAAACCAGGAGATGTAGTTGGAGAGTAAACCAGGGTCAGGAAGCCAAAAACCATGTAGTAAGTAATTGCAAAAAGTCTAGGTAGCTCTAGCCAGGAAAACCCCTAATACTGAGCACAGGGTACAGTGTGAAGCAGCATTAAATAGCTTGGGTAAATGGGCTAATTGGGAACCGTGCTGGAATGCGAGGTGGAATGACGAGTCCTCCAGGGGCGTGGCGTAACAAAAAGAAGACAAAGATTAGTCATGTCATGCTATAGGCTGTGGACCTTGTCCAACAATGTGATGTCTTTATGTCAAACTCATACAAAATGTATACTGTATGCTCAAGAGGGGCATTTTCAACCATCCAAAGACTCAAAGCATCAGTTTAGCTGTCCTTAGACAAAACAACATTTTGTTTTTGCTTGCAATGAATGTATTTCAAATAAATTGCATTCCTTGCCTCTAAGAGGTCTTGCATGTTCTTTCCTGGAGGTGTCTGATTGCTTAATTCTTCAAGGGTAAGCAGTAGTTTCACTGTGCTTTGTGGTGCTGCACCTGTTGGTGAAGCATGGAAGCTTGCCATTGTTCTATTATTCATACTTAGTATTAATACTAAAAGCTCTTATGCAATCATCGAATTGTCCCATCATACTGCTGTACAGCAGCCCACGCAGAAAACCCAGCTCCTACACCATAGATGATTTCATACTGTCTTATCTCTTCCCTGGCAAAAAGATAAACTACCAGGCACTCATCAATTCAGGACAGAAAATGAATTAAAGTGTAGTGTTTGTATTATTATTTCTGAGCAGTTAATGATTCCACAGACCTGGTATAGGTATGATTATGGTTCCGTTTTGCATATTTGCACAGTATCAGAATTACTGCACAACATGGCATAAGGTAGGCTACATCCAATTGGGTAAAGAAATGATTTAGTAGAGGTGCAGAGCAGTTTAGCTCAGCATTGAGTATATTACCATCAATTGTAACAGTATAGGCTAACATCACAGGAAAACAAAACATAACCTTGCTTTTAAGGAACCTGATAGCACAGACACACAATTAACATGGAAAATAGTGTGTTAAAAATGAAAAATCTAAAATTTAGTTGTTATAATCCAATACTATGATACAGGGATAGAGAAGTATCCCTTGAATTTCTTTTAAAATGTGGATCGTGAGTTTGGAAGATTTAGGAGGGGAAGTTTAAGCTATTTGTGAATCATTTTACAAGCTACAGTATGTACTGTATGCATATGTGCTTTTAATTCAAGTGGTCCTACCTGCACTGCATATATTTAGGAAACAACATGGAGGAGAATGCACAATTTTAAAGTCAATACAGTAGATAATACCTTTACAAAGTGGAGAGTCCATGATATAGTCTTTAAATGATGTAGGTGTCTTTAGACGAACAGCATGCCAATTAATACACAATGGCATTCTAAGAGTGCAGTGACAGAGCACTAGGTTCCAGAAGACTGGGGCTTAGTGCAAAATGCCTGTGGATCCTCCCCCAGGTCAGTGAAGAAGGCTGATTTCTTGGAAAGAGTTAAGAAAAAGCATATATCGATTAAATAAAAGCAATGTAAGCTTAGCACTCCAGGAGCAATATTGATCCCTAGGGCTGTCTGGAACAAGATAGGGGGTTCCGGCTCATTGCTCTTTCCCTGCCTGAATCATTGCTCCAGAGAAAACATTGTAGCCCTCAGGATCCCCATTATTAATGCAGGGAAGCACCCTGCAAGACAGCCCGGGTCTGCTGTTAAATCTGGGCATTTCTGTTCTTACTCTCCACAAAAGCTTGATTCAGCACATAATAGAAGAAATCATTTGCTTTCAACTGTAAGAAAACTATAGGCAACAGGGTTTAAATACCAGACAGAAACTTACTGTATTTGCTGAAACTTAAAGGTAAAAAAATATAATTTAACAGTTAAACTTCTTACAATATAATTTTGGTCTAATAACTGAACTATAAAACATATGTTTAGGGCTTTCCAAATATCAGAAACTTATAATGCAGTTTGCATCTCATTCTATTTCAATTTTTTCTATAGTACCAGATGTTCCAATTGTACCTCAAATAATTCAGACTAGAATGGCTAGTAAACATCATAATTAAAATACATCATGCTTTATAACTATTTAATTTGATAAGTAAAAACACCAATATTAAATTAACAACACAATATTTATGGTTAGTATTGTCACCTCCTCAGTGACTATACAGTACTTTGACCTGTTAATGTAATTTGATAATGAAATTTAACACCTGTCCTTTATGTAGCCGATTGTGAAGCACATATTTCCTGTTCTGTGACCAGTGTGTGGTACATGAATAATGTCATGCTAGCATCATGTTGCTCATGCTAGTACTTCAAGGTAATCCAAATGCTTTTACTGCAAATAAATTGGTTCTGAGCAATCAAAATACAAAGCCTACATGGACTATGGAATGTTGACAATATTTTCTTGGTTAACTAGACTGATAACTGCAATTAATACACATAATAAATAGTTATGTTAAATGTGATTAAAACTGAGCCAACTGAAAAGTAAAAAGAAGAAACACAACATGTACTGTATGTAAGTTGTTGAGCCTTTTTCAGGCGTGAAGGAGAGAGAGGAAGATGGCAGGAAATCAAAGGATAGAGCAGATGAGAAAGAACATTCAAATGAAGGAAGATTGAGGGGAGATGTCCCCAATTAATAATTCCTGAAATCCTAATGGGTGAGTGCAATTTCTGTGTGGCTGATGTATAAAATACACTGCAATGTACGCAACATGCAATATAACAGAATATTCTACCCAAGAATATTGCTCATAGCAGCTACAGTTAAAAGGTCTGGCTTTTCGTGCTACATTAAATATTTGTGCAGCATATTCAGTTTTTGTTTTGCCAGAGCTTGCTTTGCCTTCACACAAAGCAAGCTCACTTACTGCCAGTCTCACATACAGCACAAAGCGCTCTGCATGGTTCTCTCCCTTTAGTCAATTGCAGTTCCTTTGTTTAACTGGGGCAAATCCTTTCATGAAAACGATGGGAAAAAATGACACCGCATGACCTGTGTTCATCCTTCCTCTAAACTCCTCCCCCAACTTTTGTAGCAGGATCACTGACTCAACTACCACTGGTTTCAATGACAATTGTAGAAGTTATTGTATTGGAGTTTTTTATTGCTGATATAAGTGAATAAGTAGTGTTTCTCATTTTCGGTATATACTGTATATTTTTTGTACAAAATGTCCCCTTAATCTTTGCCAATTCTGGAGTTCTTGCAAAAAAAAAATGTAAAGTACATTTAAACATCAACAATATTGTATCTCTGTAGATGTGTTTCAACTTTGTTTTGTCATTGGTGACTAAAATGAAAATACGGTAGATTTAGTATTTGAGGTTTTTGTTTACTGTTACTATTAATATGACTCTTTTTAAATTCTTTCTTTAAAGTAATTTTAAAAGTCTTTGAAAATATACCTAGAACAAATGCTATTGTGTATAAGAATTTACTTAAACGAAAATATAGGAAAGATATCCCAAGAGCACTAGAAGTACTGTAGATACTAAACAGCATCCTGCATGCATTATAAAATGAATTCCATAATCATAAGCAGCAGCGATAGTTAACAATTGGACTTTGTAGACAATTCTGGCGGTACTGAAATGCTTCTTGCCTCCCCTTTGACAATAGCATGTCCAGGCACTGAGTAAATAAGGCAGAATGTATTTTTACTCTTGCAAGATTTTCTTCAGAACTATTCTGCTGACAGTTGTTGGAGATTACCGATCATCTTTAAACTTGTACAGCTTTTTTTCCCCCATAAAATCACGTTTTCCTTTACTGGATCAGGGCCAGTGAAATTCTTGTCAAAAATATCATTCTCTTTGGTCACTTTGCAGAACCTTGAAGCAGATTCATGGTATAAGAATAACATTGATTTACACAGTCAGTCTGTACTTTAACCCCAGTCTAATTTAATTTGTCTTTACTTCAGGGAGCAAAACGGTGTCATGTTAAAAAAAAGAGTAACTGTGCCTTGTAAGTTGGGGGTATGCATTTATGGTAATATGCATTCCCAACGCAACAGTTTAGATGAGAGCCATTAATTTCTAATGAGTTCATCTCTCTTCAAAAGGTAAAAAGGGCAAGATGCTTACCTCTTTATTGCTATTATTGTTATGGCATCACAGAAATTAGGTTCATTAATGAAGGAATTAAGCTCCCTACCTAGGGCAAACAGTTTCATTGTTGTTTATGGCTTTAGTTCAATTCCTTATTTATTTAATTGGGCAATCTAAATACTGTATATATTGAGTAGTAACAAATTAAAACTTGTGAAATTAAGTCTTGCAGAATGGAATAGAGTGTTGTTCAGATTTGCCTAAAAGCGGCCAGTCGGCACTGCTGCAGCCAGTGTCTCTCCTAGACAGCACAAACACTTTTTCATTACTGTACACTGTTGCCCTGCTCTGATCCTCACTTTCCCACAAACCTCCCTCACCACTTCTGTTCATTCCAGCTGACTGTTCACTGAAATTTGATTTCAGAGAGGTCTTGTGTAGCCAGAGCCATACCTTCACAGAAGTTCCTTATGTACTGTAACACGATAATAACATTTGGAATCTTTTATGAAATTTGTTCCAAAAGATTTAGGTGTTACATTAATATTTATAATATCCGCAGTCAGAGCAGAGGTCATAGTACTAGGGTTAGAGGTGAGTTGTGTGCTGGGGTCTTGATGAAATCTTATCTATGTGTTATTTCTCTGGGGAAAGATGGTTCACGAATTGTATTATACAGTAGCATGGTTTTGTAGCCTTTTTGTAGGTGTCGTTCTGATCACATGCTGTAAGAGCTTATTTAAATAAGTCATTACCGCCTTTTCTCTTTTTCTCTTTTCTCTGACAGCTCCAAAAACCCAAGCGGCAATAACAACTGTAACTTAGAGCTGGGATCCCCCATTCATGGGAGCGTCTTTCCCGAGTGGATAAATGATTCCCCAAGCTGTCTGTGTAAAATAAGGAGTGAATTCAGTCCAGTGTGATTAGATATACATAAATGTATGTTTATATGCTGTCGCTTAAAAGGAAAAAGAATTGAGAAATTTGAAACAAGAAGCATGAGTCAATTAAAAATTAATATATCTTCACACGTATTTTGTATCCAGGTACTTTCGCTTACTATTCAGTAAGCTTTGGTTGGTTTTTTATCATCAGTAATGTATATTCAATGGAGCTCACAGCTACATTTTTTTTAGAGTAACCATTTATGACATAAAAGCAATAGCATTGAAATTGAACTAGACATCTTTGAGTTATCCGTCCTGCAGTCTCTAAGGCAGTTAATCTCAATGTTCTTCTCTTTAGCACATAAACGCACAACCTATTTAAAGTTCATAAAAAGAGTCCCCCTCTTTTGTAGGAATGACCATCATTCCCATGTCTCTCTCATTTATAAAATCACAGCAACTCCCAACTCACCACCTGTCCCATGGAGTTATTATTTTATAGTGTGCTCTATGTGATTTTTTCACACTAGCCTGGCTTTCAGTAAGGTATGATAAATAAAGAAAAGAAAAATTTCAGAGCAATTGTGTGGGTGAGCCCTGCCTACTGTACATAGGGGGACAGGGAAGAGGTCCCACTGGCCTGTTTCATTTAGTGGATATGTGCTCCTGCCCTGCATTGTTTCAATGAGCAACAGTACATCTACCCCAGCATGGAGCAGCTGGATTTGTTTCATGAGTCATGCCTGCTGCCTTCCATGTTTTTTCAATAAGAAACTGCATTCACAAGTGGAGACTTGGGAGTCTGGTCACACAACTGTCATAAGAACAATGTTACTTCTCTACCAACTACTTTGTGTTCATGATTAAAAACTTTTTTTAAATTATTTTCAAGCAAGTATTGTAGCAAGTACAAATCTCCTGTAAAATATATAATCAAATCCTTTATTTCTTATTAGCTAAACCTGTTGAAACTAACTTAGTGCTACTGCCAGTTTAGATCAGGTGACTTCAGCCTCAGCTTGCATGTGCTTGATTGGAAACAAAAGGGCACGACCTTCAGTGTGCTCGATCTGGCACTCCAGTTTCAGTTAGGAATTACTCAAGATCTCCCTCACCTGGACTGGGAATATAAGTATGGTTGCCGTGGTGACCAGGACATTATGCTGAAAGGGCAGACAGCACTCTCTGCCACAACCAGGCCTGACAGGCAGACACCACTCACAGCGGGGGGTTCCTGTGTGTTATGGCATGTACTGAAAAGATAATCATTGCTTACGATGTTGAACACATTTCTTTTTACTTCCAAGGTTGGCAAGAATTTCTAAACCTAGTGGAAACAAATCAGTCACAGTAATGGCATTTAATAATATTCACCAAGTGCAGGAGAAGAAATTCAATTCAAAGGAGGCCAGTTCTATATATATATACTGAAGCATTACCAAGTTATGCATTATTCATTTTCAAAACGAAAACGATGAGAAATATGAGAGGGGGGCAAAGCTATGTATAATTTGTGGACAGTACCTAAATAAAAAGTAGAATACAAACATTTCTAAGAATAAAGGGGATTTTCACAATTCTTTGATAGTATGCAATATTAAATCTCTTCACATGGACTATATTGGTGAGAAACCATTCACCCCTTCCTTCCAAATCAAATCATTTCTCCATATAGGTTAATAGGATTTGGTACTACAAATAGCAAACATTTTTGCATTCTTCATATACTGTACAGTATATTAGGACACCGAAGTGAAATTTGTCATTTTTGCTGTGTAGTTATGCAATCTGTATTTAAGATCAAAAGACTAATGTTAGGCAAATGTATAGAAGTACAGTATGTACAGTATAGTGCTTGCACCATTTTGACTAAACACAATCTTTTAGCATCAGATCTCTTTAATGAGTCCATTAATTATTATGTCCTAATGAGGAGCTAAAAACAAAACATGCATGCCAAGCTGAAGCTTGTAAACAGTCACTTCAGAGACAAGGGTCAAGGTGCCTTCTGGAGGAAAGTCTATTAAAATTGACATTTCTGCTGGATGGATAGAACTCAAGGACATGCTTTACTACCTATCAGCCTGACCAAAAAGTACTGTAGTAGCTAGACTGCCTGTGAGCTGGACTTAATATACCCTGCTTTTACTGTTGTGCCAGTAGTAAACTGCTGCAATTCAAAACATACTGGTTCTTCCTTAAGGGGAACTTGTTCGTTCCAGTTATCCCAGTATTGTATGATGCTATAACAACATGTTAGGGTGTCCTGGCAAAGGATTATCTTCTTAGAGAAAACACAGCAACCCTCTTTTCTCTGAATATTCCTCAGGTTTATACCTAAGGCATTACACACCTCTCATAAGAGTCAGATTTCCTTTGTGAATCAGACAACAGAATGGTTGGACCTTTTTGTTCGTAATTTTGTCCCTAATTGCGGGCTATTTCGCTTGTCCATTGCCCTCTGGGGGTTTGTGATTGTACAAATAGGTTTTGAATGTGTCACAGATTATGTACAGTAAACATTGTATTTCATTGCTTATGCAGTGTACCAATTAATTGACAAAAGCCGAAACTGAGAATACTTTTAATGAGCTAAATACTGGAGGTCCAGTACAGTCATGTACATAGAATGGTGGAGAATAATGTGTCTCTGCCGGGGGTATTATCACTTGACAGGATCACACCTTGTGACAGTTCTTAAGAGTCGGGAATAGAGTGTTTTATTGGTGATAATTGAAACACAGGTTAACAGTTCTGGGAATATAAGACTTGACTTTTCCAGTCCACATTTTTAACATTTTAAAGGTGATGATGCTTGGTAGCAGAATTTAAAGTGTTCTACAACATTTACTTCAGATAAAAGTCAATTTAATTAAAGAAACTCCAAGCCACATCCTTTTAGTTTTACTGTATCTGTTCATCCTATTGTCTGAATGTTGTTAACAGTGCCAGTCCCTTCTCTAGGTAATTGCTAATGTGACTTGTTTATTTCACTGCAAATATTAGTGAAATCGCCGATCTCCTGAATCCACAGGACAGCCTTTTGTTGTTCTTGTCAGGACCATCCAATGCCACAGTCCTCTTCAGTGATGAAGACAAATCAGGACTGATTTAGGGCAGTATTTCACATTTCATGTTATGTTACACACATTTTTACTGAAAATGACTGTTGTTCAACATTGAAGGAGAGAAATAACGGATAAAATTATTTTTCATAGTGCTGCACTGTTTTTTTTATTTCTAAAATAAAAAACCTGAGCATTAATGTGAAATAAACTTTATATACTGTAGCTAAGGCTAAAAAATTTACTAACTGTAACACTTCCATTAATTTTTGGGGTGACAAAATACCTAACATTATACTTATACAATAGGTTAATTAAGTGAAATAACATAGGGCTATTGAATTGATTTTGAAATCAATGTGTCTTTCTTTGTCTTGAAGGAAAAGCTTTTGATAGAAGTTTCTGAAATAATTCAGAAATTACACTCTCAATCTTGGTAATACTTTCTGATATACTATGCTACATCTATAAATATAATGGACCTATAATAGTACTAACTACAACACCTAAAATTTGTAAATTGCATTTTAAAAAGTGAATTAAATTCTCAACATTTTATGTTTACTTTTTAGTTAATCATTTTGTTGATCTCTCCTTCTCCAAGTCGTCTTCATTTCAGCAGGGAGGGCAAAATGTTTTGATTTTAAGAGTGTTTGTACTAGAAAATAAAATATTTAATCATTAAGCAATAGCTTTACTATTGAAACTGCAATTCTGAGATATAATTGACCCTGTTCATTTTGTTCTAGCTTGAAGCAGCATCAACAGTGAAACCAGTGGTTTGTGACCAGATGTGGCACGGAAGCAGAGACCTCAGTCAAGACGTTAGGGAACACTCTGGAAAAGAGACACCTGCCCTCTGTGGAAAGCTTGCAAATGTGTATGATATTTCCTTGCTTCATCTTTGTGTGAACACAAAGAAGAGGACTCAAGCCAGGATGTCTTAGGACTACATTTGGTTTGTGATACCTGTGTTTGAAACAAACAGAAAACTTTCTTTGCTGTCAAAGAACTACCTGAACTAGCACTGTACGTACTCTTTTCTGGTGTCAAACTCACCTTACTGATGTTCACCAAAAGGAATAAAACAATCATAATAACAATAATAAAATATGTCAGCAATAAATTGAACCCCCAGCACTGCAGGGCAATGTATTCTGTGAGGCTTTTTGTTCTCTCTGTAGATGTTTGTCTGCAGTGGCAAGGCTGCAAGGCTGCGTACTGTTAGCTGCTCACATACTATATAGAACTGGATTCATACCCCCGTCCCAATGAGTGTCTATAGATACAGGCATGAAAATGGGCTTCGAAAGGTGTGCTTGGTATTGTGTTCAAATCACTGCACCCTTGTGCTACCTTATATGATATGGACAGTTCAACAGGTCATTTAATATCTGGTGATAGAAATGGGTCATACTGTAGTTAGGTTATTTTGAATCCATTGTGTGCAGTGGTAGAAGATTACGTTTCTATTTCTAAAGACACTGTGGGTTTACTTAATTAAATATAAGATGCTATACCAACTGTATACGGTACATAAACGTTTGATCTATACTAATGTTTTCAAGATTGTAATACTGAAACTGAGCTCATCCTTATGAAAATCAGTATGGTTTCATACACATTGATACAGTGTGGTTACATTTATCTAATTCCAGTTTCATATTTTTCATCAAACTTTATTTGAATAGCATGGCATTTTTCATATTAGATTCTTGACACTAGAATCTTTAATAATGCTGGCATTTCACTGGAGACTACAAACTTTGAACATGTCAAAATCCTTTCTGGATCTTATTCTTTCTTTTGCATGCTCTAAACGATGATTGGATAGATCATTTTGAGGCAGAAATGAAAGTTTCACAGTGATCTGGGCTTTAACAAGGTATTTAATCATATAATAAGAGTTTGTAAAGACCTAATTAAAAAAAACAATAGGACTGGATTTAAACCTACTGTTCTTTATCTAACACCAGAAAGTCACTTATTCCATGTAGAGGATGTGACACCAGTCCATCACAGGGTAGAGATGCTAAATTACTTAGCCAACATGTCATTGGAAGGATGGAGGAAACTGCATAGCTAAAACTCACAGGAATACAATGAGAACATGTACTGTAAACTCTTTAAAAGAAGGCACTCCAGGCCAGAATCAAACCCAGAACCTAAGAGCTGCAAGAGCAATAGCATTATCTACTAAGCCACCCTGATTTGTTTATCATGACACTTTTGTGTCTGATCTTGCAATTAACTCGGAGGTTTTTAATATTTAATTCACTGTATTTTTACTTAGCTAAATTGCATTAATTAAAGAAATAAAGAAGCTTTGTTCAAATTCAAATGCCCCTTTCCTTAGAAACTCAAGTATGAATTTTTTATACATAAATTTAATTCAGTAGATATACTATTTCCCTTTAAAGAATGAAAGTAGTAACCTGCCTGGGCGTGATTGATTTCAAATGAAAAATAAAAAGAGAGCACCTAGAGTGCACTTTACAAAATGAAGTCTCACTTCGATGATGCCTTGGGATTTAAATAATGTAAAAGCTTGAGCTTTGAGTGAGAAAAGTGTAACAAGATTTATTCAATTAATAAAATAGTCCATACTATTTCATTAAAGAGTGATTTAAATTTGTAAATGAAATATCAAAGGATCTTTTGATGCTGATGAGTTATGTTAAATGAAACCCCTATGTCTCATACTCTCCCACTCATTGAAACTAGAGCAGGATTCAATATTTACTGAATTAAATTCCCATTCTACCTAATGCAAACATGCTAATAGTTTAAGTTGGCTGATAATAAGAATAGCTAAAAATATATCTTGATGATCAGACAGTAGACAGTTTATAATTATGGCTGTGTTTCTGAGAATCAAATAAGATAGAATGTCAACCCATTTTCATTTAATCATAAGGTGCTTCATCCCTGGACCGTGTTTTTCATGGTGCTCTCTTCTTACAAGCACTTGAACTACCCTGGCTCCTAAGGCTCCTATATACACAAATCAAATATATACTGAGAACGAGAGATTTCATTTGAATGAACTACTGTCTGAAGCAAAGTCAGTGTCCATACTGTACCTTTGGAACCTACTTAAAATTGGTGATATGCAATATCCAATAAAGTAAGTGTTAAAGGGAGATTAAGGCAATTTTGGAAAATCTCCTCACAGGAAGTTACTTTCTGGAAATCACTGGCTAATCAACCTGGATGCATCACTTTCTGTCCATGGCAGCGAGTTCCTAATCACAGTGTGGGGTTGTCCTTTGCACACCTGGGCCATGGTCTCAAAACGCAGCTGTGATTCTTCAGCAGCAAGCACTATTGGTTGGTGTTAACTAGATGTTGCATCTGTCCTCCACCTCAAGCTTCTATGTTTCTGCACTCAAGGCTGAAAAGAAACTGTTGGCCTGGCAAATATCATGTGGAGAACAAGGGAGTCATGGGACTGTGCCTCCAGTTGTGGACTAAAAACTCTTTTTCATTCTCATTTATTATAAAAAGACTGCAGCTCTAAGGAAGCAGATGATGAAAGCACTCTAGTGCACCACAACTCACTATTAGACTTCTAATAGTTGATCTTCCTAAGAAAAGATACAGTCGCAGTGGTGCAGTCATTATTGGGCAAACAAGGTATTTTTGATAATTAATGTACTGTATATATTTTAAGGACATGTTAAGTGGAAATGTGTGTTCTAATACTGTGTGTATTTTTAAAGTAACGAGTTTGAAAGAGGTCAGGATGCTATGATAAGGATTGTACTGTGACCATTTGTAAATATACTTTACAATATATATATTTTTTTCTCTTTCAAACAAAGCTGGTCTCCAGATATTTTGTGCTATGCTCCTATATAATTAAACCTCCTTGAATGTGAATCAGCAGTGCCAGCCATTTGATTTGGCCTGCAAATGGTGTGAAATCCTTTGCTTGCACTTGATGTCAACTATAAAAGAATGTGACAGTAACTCTCATTTAACAGCTGTGAGATGTTAAAGAGACTGTGAAAAAGCTGTTATAACTATATATTTATAAAGAATTTAGGAAATCAGAATGGTCTGGAAAACAGTGCATTTCTTTTCTGATAAAAAAAGGTTTTTAAACCAGTTTATACAATACAATATTCAGTCAATACAATACAATATTGTATGCTTATACAATACAGTATAGACATAAAGTATTTAACCTTTCCTTTCTTTCAGCTGACTGAAATCCAGCAAACACTCAGAACATTTGAATAAAATGATTAGGGATTAGTTAAGACTTTAAGCTTAATCACAGTCAAACATCTCTTTCAATGTTTTCAATGTTTAAATTCTGTCATAGATAAGTAAGTATAAACATCTTTTCTGTTTATTGGACTTACCGTAAATGTTCTGCTCTTTAACCACCTCTGGAAAGGATAGTATTTCTAGATTTAAGAGTTTTAAGATGTGTGCATCCTCCGATAACTCGATTCCTTATTGAATACATACTGTATATGGTATTCTGTATACGTATGGGAATGCTTTCTTGGAAGATCTAAATTAGTTTTGGACAGTGAGGCCTGGATTGTATTTGCAAAAAAGGACTGAACAGCAGTTCAATTTAAAACTCCATTCCTAAGAGCGAAGCCTAGCACAGTGGTATTAGATACAGTAGGGCCAAACAAGGAGAATGTCTTCTAAATCAATATAAGATTAGATAATATTTTTATTAATTTAAAGTCAAAACAGTATTCCTGTTTTTAAAAGATTTAATCCATAAAAAAAATATTTTTGTTATAAATTAATTCCCCTTTTAAATGGGACACTTCTAGCTAACTGGGCAGTTAGTTCCAAAGTCTTTTACAAAGAGTGTGTGACAGTGGTGTATTGGACATTCCTTTATAAAAAATTAAGAAGGGTAAGGCTGTTAAAATGCAGAAATGTAGCCAGCTTGAAATGATCAAGAATCACTCTCTTTAAAGCACTAAGTCTCCATAGTAACATGAAGAATCCTAATAATACGGAAAGGAAACTTCACTGAAGCAGTGACATAAGTAGCTTTGGGTCAGCCCTAGATGAATCATTGAATTTTTGTTAAAGAATAGTTTTAATGTCACAAAATAAATGAGCACAATAACAATTGCCTTTTACACTTGTCTTGTGGAATATTTTGAGTCATATTTTCTCTACAATTCACCTAGTTCCTGTCTTATAGAGTACTGTTGTTCTCATGTCTAGACAATCTTTGCCTCTGGTCACAAACTTAATTTGCACACAAAATCTTCAGGATTTGCCTGCTTTCAGTGCTTTATATTGATTTATACTTTCCATTGCATTCCCTTAACAGTCCATACAAACCTTTTCTTCAAGATTTAAAAAGCACATTTTCTATACTGAGCATTTAATAGGCTTATTTAATGTGCCTGAATGAGATTCAAGCTTTTTACTGGTGAAATAGTTTCATTTAGAGTACGTTTTATTAATACAACAATCAATGGAGTGCACAAGACACAGAAGAAAAGGATTGGCCTGGTTAATGAGATGTCTACTTTTAAAGACCATTTTAATAGGGAGATTACACAGCAGCAGAACAGGCTGTGCTTGTTTCACAGAACAGTAAGCTGTGGAGTTCTACAGGGATCCATTTTGGGTAATATTTAGGTTGAAATCTAATTCATAGACCAACAGCATGCTATAATTAGGGCAAGATATTGCCCTGGTGAAACACATTAAAAACACACATTTCATGGTAAGTCACAGTGACATCAAGAAAAATACAAGTGCACTGAGTGAACAATGTAAATGAGCATGTTACAGCATGTAAAATCATCCTTGTCAAAATTGGGGTGATGGGTGGAGAGGAGAGCATTACCTTTCTCATCATGAGTATGTACTCTCATACAGTATACATGGTGCAGCATTTTAAAACACCATTGCTTTTAATTTCAAGAGCTGATGTCAAATATCCAAATTCACAGTTTCCATGACAGCAGCATCTTATCCGCACTTATAATATATATTTTTCCTCTAGAAAACATTGCTACAGTTAAAATGTTGTAGAATATAATAAACATGGTTTTGCTTTTGTGCTCTGTATTCTGAATTCAATACAGACAAAATTGCTTCTTTTTCTGCCAATGCTTTATGGTACAATTTTGTTAAAACCATATAAGAGGAGTGAAAAGAATACACTTACAAATGGAGCTCATCTTACAATTGCATTTTTGGACTCTTTCTTAAAGCTATTGTTTAAAAAGTCTTTTGAAGATTTTCTTTTGCCCCTCCTGACTCACTGCAACACTGAGATATTGATTCCTGTTTCCGTCACCTTGGAGCCGGATTATTACTGTTGTCATTGCTCTGGCCTTTCAGATGCATCTCCGACCAGAGTTCAATTTGATGTGAGGTTCATCATCTGTGCAGTTTTTCTCTGGAGAACTGGAGACTAAAAACCACATCTGACATACAGTCTGTGACTTGGTATCTATAGGTCAAGTTCAAAATATGTGACAAGGTAGAAAACATGCTTAAAGTAAGACAGTAGTGCATTCTTTTATTGGAGGACTAAAGACATTGTGCCTATGTAACTAAAAAATATATGCTACCTTGTCGTGACCTTCCCTTCAAATAAAAACACACAGCAGCAATGAACCCTCCAGTGGTTTCCTTCTAGTCATTAGCGTGCTGACTCATACTACTAGAATTAAAAAAAACCATTGCTGCATGTGTTCATGAGCCCAAAACCTACAGTGTATATTCTCACTGAGATGATATTACTTGAAGCTTTAGCTTCTCCTGACTACAAAACAAGCTAACCCCACCCCCACCCCCTTGTCTAAGCAAGATCAGTATTAAAGAGGACTCGATTCTTTATTTTCTTGAAATAGAAGTCCTAAACTGATGTTTGGGAGGGGTAGCCATGGTTCTTCCCCGCTGTTCTAAATCCTAATCGTTCCTGATGTAATTCCTCAAAGCTATATCCCATGTCAAAGCAAATCCATCTCTTCAAATTTCTTCTAATCTATTTCTTCCTCTGCCCCGTCTTCACCTTTGCAGCTGCCACTTTTCACTCTTTATGGGGTTCCCAGACTTCCTGGCCAGGAGGTTAAGCCAAATTTCATTATGCCTAAATACTCAATAAACAAGCTCAAATACATCTACTGTAATTCATGGGTGTCATTATTCTTCATGAAATGGCTGAACCTGATTTCAGTGTGCCTGTGAAAACTGTATCACTGAAATAAAATCAACAAGTCCAGATAAAATGCTCAACTGATGGACTGTTTGGGTCCCAAACTGTGACCCAAACTTTAAAGAGCTCTCAGAAAGTTTGCAGACACAAACTAAAAGGTGAGTGCTATGCATAGCAAACAGTTTTCTTTTTTGTTTTAGGAATTGTACTTTTTTAGAAAAGTACATTTAGATTCTCATTTAGAGTCCAAGAGCCCAAGAGCCCAAGATGTCACCTTACTGGGCTCAACAGGACATAAAAGTTTTGAAGCACAGCAGTACTTTATATGCAAAAGCTGTAGCCTAGATAAAAGAAGATTTTAATGTGTTGTGTTAATGTGTTAGGCTGTATGTAACTACTTTATATTTTTCTTGCATTCTGAGCCTGGAATTAGTTTCCTGTTGGGAAGAAAACAAGATGTGATTGCTCATTATCTGTGCAACAAATGAATACAAAATAAAGCACTGGCTGAAAGCAGAATTGCATTGGGGAATAGTTCATATTAAAATTAAAATACAAAAAATGCTAATATAGCTACCTTTGTGCTTTTCACTTTATCGAATCAAGGCTCATGTTTGGATTAGGATAAAAGTGGTTGAAAATCTCAAAATGTGAGAATTACTGTTATTTAAACAAAAAAAATGTGACCTCAAGTTCTTAATTGAATAATACTGTCATTGCAAAGGCCCAAGTTATTAAAATGTGCTCAACATCTCTGAACTAAACTTAAAAAAACTAATAATAAACTTAAAAATATACCCAAATGTAGATAAGTATTTTTCGAGTTGTGCATTAACATTTTAAGGTTAATTTTTTATTAAACCACTTGCTTCACAATGTTGTTACATTAAAAAGTAGGACAGTGTAAACCGTTTGATGTGCTTCTCAGTGGAAAAGACTCACTTCCTAGTATGTGCCTCCAAATACAGATGAGAGCTTAAGTTGTGTTCATGCTCATTTGATCTCCCAAGTGATTTTTTTTCTCTGACTTCTTGCGTCTTAATACTGTTTCCTAACTCACTGTCATAATGACAATATCTATGCCATTAGCTATTGCATTGGCAGTGTCCATACTGTTCTCTGTGCCAATAACCACAAATATCATTATGTCCAGTTTTATCTCAGCCACACAGAATATAGAAAAGATGCTTCAAGCTTGTAATTATTTTGCTCTCCTATCTATAGTGCTTTAACTTCTATCCTTCATGGTTTTCTGACACTGCACTGCCACTGTCATTCAATTATCTGGAAAATCAAATAGCCTCTGGCTATAATCTGCTAAATACCATTTTTTCGAAAAAGCTTTTAAGAGGGTAGCAATCAAGATGTTTTAATGTTTTATCTAAATTAAATTATCCCCTCATTTTGTGCTCCCCATCCCAGAGGAGCTCATTCTTTTATAAAAATAACCAATATACCTAGAGTATATGTATTTCTCAGGAACACTGCAAGCAAGATTTGCATCAAGGACCTGAATCAACAACAGTATCCCTGGAGCCAAGGTGAATGACATTGTCCAAAGAGAAGAGATACCTAGCAGAGGTAGATGAAGATCCAATTGCTGTCCGTGGCAGTAGAGATCCGATGGATTACATCTAAATGACTGGATACTGGAATTGACTGGGGGCAAGGATCACCAGAGCCTTTCAAAAATATTTAAACCGAAGGGAGATGGGAAATCCAAAGAAAATCTGCAAGGGAGATATACAGGGAGTAGAGCCCAAAGAAGAACCCCAGGGAAAAAAACAAAATGTCAAAGAACCAGGCAATGAAATGTTTATGCCTGAATGTCAGGAGTATTAGGAACAAAATGCAAGATACAGAAGCCAGTGCATTAGCAGGCTATTATGATGTTATTGGAGTCACAAAAACGTGGTTTACAGGAATTGTTAGTAAAGAATACAATATTAGTGCATATGCAGCATTTCAAAGAGACAGAAAAGATGGAAGAGGTGGAGGCATACAGTACAGTACATGACAAGCACTGAGGTACATAAATTTTACCAGGATCTCTACACATCAAACTTAAACCATAAAGAAAAAAACATTGAAAGGTCATAGTGTTATGAGTGTGCTGCAGAACACAAAATTCATTTTTTCTTCGTAATTCGGGTTTATATATTGAAATTAGGGATGTGTGTATAAAAGATAAAGTGTTTGTTCTAGAATGTTAGGAATGTCAGCAGCTAACACTGGAATGGAAGACATGTCTCATAATTGTTTCCTTTCTTAGTTTGTCAGAGCTCCCTGTAGAGGGAATATATTCCTTTCCGTGCAGTATAATGCCTATATTGATCTACAGCTTTCAACCCAATAAGATAAAGTGAGGAAAAGTAGGGACCCCTGATCATAATGCCGCATACTTGTAAGAGTCCAAGCCAAAGGTTTAAAGCTGCTGTAAAGCACATGAAGAAGTGAGACAGAGTTTAAGAGAACAGATATGGGACAAAATACAGATTAAATCAGTGAAGGATGCATTGGAACATTTTAAACATATTCTATTTGAGACACAGAACAGGTTTATCCCTTACATACTGTACGTAATCCAAGACTATAAAACAGTGACCCAAAAGGATCAATAAATCAATCGAGAACTAAACAGTATGTTGTATATAATTGTATAAGCACTTTAATAAATCAACGTTGTGTGTTACGACGAGTATAACGAACCCTGTGCAGGTCTCTGATGGAGTCCGGGCTGAACGAGTCCGAGAAGGGTGAGGCAGGAGAGTAGTCGATCGGTCCAGGCGTAGTCGAGTCCAGAGAGGAGAGCTAGGTTAACAAATCCGAGAAGAGTGAGACGAGAGAATGGTCGAAAGGTACCAGTTGGATAGGGGTCCGATAGGCGAGGTCTGAGAGAGCAAGGTGTCGAAAGTTGTAAGTAAGAGCTCA